CCCCAAAACCCCAAAACCCCATCAAGCTAAAATTATAGTGGTTTCAGAGATTTACAATTTAATCTAAAATCATTAATCAATCGAACAAACCAATTCATTCCTTAATCAATATTTGTCAACTAAAAATTTAACTTGCTCACTTAAGGAGAGATTTTCACAAGCTTTGAAATCTATATCTTAGAATGATAAAATATTGTCTATTAATTCTTGTCCAAAAAATTAAACAAATGGTTCTGCTTCTTTAGACTACAAAGCCTTTTTTCTCTCCTCGAATGTATTTGGAAGCAATTAGATACCTTTTTCATCTCTTTGTTCAGGTGTTAAGTCATGTGGATCTCCATTAAATGGAGATGGTAACGTAAGTTTGTTATCAAGTCCTTGCATCCCTGCAACCACAATAGCAGCTAAGGCAAGATACTGATTAGCTGTATGATCCAAAGATTTAATTTCAAAATGATTTATATTATCACCAGGCTTATCAGATTCAATTACTCTTATAGGAGCCTCTCTGTTTTCTATTCCCCAGATTTTATATATTCCAGAGCAAAAGTCAGGAACAAAACGCTTGAGACTATTAGGTGAGGGTGCTAAGAAGTGGATTAAAGCGTCATAATGCTGGAGTATGCCAGCTATAAATGACTCTGCCTCATTGCTCAATCCATACTCCTTTGCTTTGTCCCCAAGGATATTTACTCCATCTTTCCATATACTTAGATTTGCGTGCAAGCCATTTCCCAAATCTTCCTCGTCAGCTTTTGGTAGATAACTTACTTTAGACTTTTCTCCTGAGTTTCCTACTGTCTGACTTATGCAATTTTTTATTATTTATCTTGCAATATGATAGTCATCTACTGCAGTTATTGCATCCTTATATCCTAAAACGAATTCAAATTAGCCTTTAGCTGATTCCTTATGAATGCAATCTACTTTAATGTCTTGTTATTTCATTTAACTAGCAATTGCTGTTAACCACGAATAGTATTATAATGTTGAATCGATGTTTGCAAAGCAGTTTGTTTCTATTGGAGTGAGATCTTTGTTTAAAATACTAAATTCCAGTTCGAATCCTACTTTGATCTCTAAACCATACTTAATTTCTAGTTAGTTTAGCGCACTTTCAAGCTGGTATCTTGGACAATGCTAGAAAATTGTGCCATCTTTGTTGAAGAAATTGCAAAATACCATTCCTGAATAGTGGTTGAATCCTCCAGGTTTATGATATGTTGCTTTATTGGGAACTATTTTCAAATTGACACTTGGATTAGGATATGATAAATTTGCAGGAGTTGCATCCTTAAGAGCTGGTAAAAACAAACTTATTATAGGAGCGGCAATTGTTTAGTCTTCGCTTGACTTTTCATACTACTCCCGAGATACCAAATACCCTTGTCTCATACCATTATACCCTTGCCAAAAGTAGCAAATAAAGTCCTCTTACACTTAATATGATGATGTACTTTTACTTTTGAAAGCCTTTGAGCTTGAACTGAAGATACTCTACATTATCAATCTTTATAATTCTGACAAAATCTTATTAATTTTTTTCTTATATCATTCTAAAACTTTTATTTATCAATTGGCACCTTGGGGTTTTGGGGTTTTGGGG